TTTGAGTTCTGAGCTGGGCTTTGTCAACCTCTGCCTCAGATCATTCCTGTTAATGTTCTTCAAAACCTCCATGGTTATCTCTACACACTGTTGGCCGAAGATCTGTATTATCTGTTTCACTGTTTGAGCTCTGCTTGGTGAGGATCTACATGAAACATATCTCGGCTTCTTCTTGGAGACAATTAAATCCAGGGTCTGCTTGAATTTCTCTAGATCCTCGTTTCTCAAATCATTCAGAGTTTCCAAAAGCAGATGTTTAACAGCTGCCATTGTTGCTACCTGAAATAATCAATACATTCATTAGACGTGTATATTCCTCTTGGACGATTACAAATGTGTCTATTTGCATCTCATCACTGTTAATGTTTTCCCTTTAACTCTATGAACTGGTTAGTTGGTGTTGGGTTTGTTGACAGACAGACAGACAGACAGACAGACAGACAGACAGATCATCATAGATAAGTCAATCATGTGTTTTGGTCATATCATTACCTGTTGAAGGAAAGGTGTGCTGTAGAAAGTCAGACAGATGTGACATTACTTACTTTCTGGATCACTGCAGGTCGCTGTGCCTCTGAAGAGAAAAGAGGTGGAGATAAACCAACTCAATTCATTTTACCCTCTCCCAAAATATTAATCATTGTTCCGATTAGTCATAAAACATACTTTGTACACTAGGATATAAATACATTATAAATATACGTTTCATCTATATTTATAATTTAAAAAGAAGAATACAGAGCTTATTAACTTCGGATAAACAGGGTTGATGATTTAAAGATCTCTGTGTTTTATTTGTCTTACTTTTGGGTCCTGAGCTGCTTTGTGACAGCCTCTGCACCAGATCAGTCCTGTTCATCTTCTCAAAAGCCTCAGTGGTCATCTCCAGCAGTCTGTGCTGGCTGTGATCTTGCACCAAATAAAACACCATGTTCTGCCTGTCTATCATCCTGTGCCAACTTGGTGAGATGTCTGGGTAGCCTTTGCCAGAGAGAATTTTATTCAGGACCCTCTTAAAAATCTCTAAATCCTGGTCACTCAAATCTTTCAGTGTTTCCAGAAGCAGCTCTATGACAGACGCCATCGTTTCCACCTGGTAAAATCAAAGGAGACGTTAATGGGGCAAAAGAGCAATTTCTCAGCTGGAATGATTACAGATTATTTTGGTTTCATCTCATCAGTTTCAGTGTTTTACAAGAGTGGATGTGGTAAGAGAACATCAGTCATGACACGCACAACGTATCAGTACACTTTATATTGTTCATCCAATTCATCACAGAACCATTTTCTTTTTGTATAAACAGCGTGTTTGATTAATTACTTTATTTTAATTCCTGGGTAACTCTTTCAAAGGCTGTGGTAGAAAAACTGCGATAAGCCTCTTGATTTTACAACAGAGTCCATTTTTAACCAGTTTCTCTTTTTTTTGTATTTGAACAAATACTATATAGATAAGATTAATGGCTAAGAATGTTTGTGTAACTAATTTGGCATGATCAGATTATCTATCTGGGACAAAAAAATGAAGTTCAGGATGAAGATTCTACTGAGTCAAGGCTGCACTGTGTGAAATTGATGGGACTTTACTCACGCTCTGGATCAGAGAAGGAAGCGGTTCCGCTGAGGATAATAAAAAAAGGAAAAAGGCCCATTTCATTTATTTCATCCCAATGTGACACACTAACCTCCTCAACAGTGACAGTATAATTATTTATATATCCACTTAAAGATATTCTAACACTGTTCAATGGCTTAAGATACATTTGGTATCTGAATATACATAAACGATATTCTTATGAAATAGAAATGTATATTTTCACATATTTCTGTCTTGTTTCTCTTACCTTTGGTTCCTGAGCTGATGTCTGACAATCTCTGCACCAGATCAGTCCTGTTCATCTTCTTTAAAACCGTTTTGGTCATATTCACACACTTTCCGCTGAACGTCTTCACCATCAGATCCACTGTTTCATCTGTGTTTGCCGCTTTGAGTCGACCCCTTAGGATCAGTGGGAAACTTTCCTCTAATTCAATGAGTGACTTGAATTGGTTAAGCTCATCTGAACTCAAATCATTCAATGATTCAAGAAGTATCTTCTGAGCCATCATGCTTTCTACCTGTAAAGTTTAAAGGAGATATCTTAGAGTGTATGCAGGATAGGATGTAGGTTAGGTTATGTGTGTGATTCACATCCAAGATCAGAGACTGAGTCTCTTCTTATTTCTATCACCAAGACTAACTTTTAGATTGTATTCAAAACTCGATTTACTGCATTGCGGTTGTATGCCTTCACAAAAAGTGGCAGTTTACATCCATGGCGATCCAAAATGTAATATCTTTATCATTAATCATTTTAATCCCATGGCATTTTTCCACCAAATTCAAAATCTGTTTATTTTTGTACTCAAGTGGATTTTTGTCCCAAATCTAAATAAATAGTTGTTGGGTTAAGGAACACCCATTCTTCCACACAGGGCCCAATGGGTCAGTGGATGATTTTAAATGTTGTCAATCATTTAAAATCATGTTTGAAAATAATATCAGGTTACAGAATATTGTTTCTCAGTGAAGGATTTCCTCATCGATTTCAGAAACATTTGCCAGATCAAGGTGAGTTAAGATAACTAATGTTGTTTTAAATGTTTGGCTTACAGTCATTAATATTTTACTCTCTATTGCATACACCAATTGCATCTCAAAAGCAGTGATTATATAAGCGGCACACCATATGATATCCAAACTATCCTTAGAATCCTTTTCAAAACTAAATATGTACTCACCTCCATGTCTTTCTTATTCTTCTTATATTTCTCAGAGTCATCACAAAGGTCATCGAGGAGATGTGACTCATGTTCTCTCAGCAGTTTGTAGAATATCTCTTTTCCTCCAGGTCCACAGACTCTCAAAGGCCCACTTAGGAGAGCCCTCATCTTCTCCCGAGGGCCATGGAGGGATAGGATTTCCTCATAATGTTCTCTATTGATAACTTTATATGAGAGCAGTCCATCCAGAATTGGTTCAATGTTTTTTACTCTCTGGACTAGTGCTATATGATGTTTATCCACAAATAGCACTGAGGAAAGAAAAGGCAAAGTGGTTAGCTTGGAGATAATATGCATCACGATATATTTAATAAAAAGTGGTAAAACCTCAAATTCATCTAATATTACAAAACCGGAAAATTAACTTTTACTCTGAATGAATTACTTCTAAGAAACTAAGGAGCACATCTCTGGTAAAAACACGTTTAATGTGGTGATTCTGTATGTTTAAAAAATTAAGTTATAAAGATCCGTGGTCCGGTAAAAACAACCCAATAACCAAACTAACTGATTAGTGGACAATATGCTATTGACGTATTGAGTAAGTCGAGTGAAGAATTTCCTACATGATACAACAGAAGGAAATACGTTTTCCAGGCAGATTCTGCTTTTAAACTCAGCTTGTTGTAGCCAACCTTAACTCAAACTAAAATACTGTGTAGGCCTACATGCTGTAATACCTGTGGACCTACCTTCCTCCATCATGTTTAGATCAGGTGCTGCCGAGGATTAAGGAGCTGTTAAAAAAAGGTATTGTTGTTAGACTTTACACATACCTCTGTTGTCTCTTATATATTTACGAAAGAGAAACAAAATGCTGTCTTTCTTTAACGGTCCCCACACTAAGAAATGAATAATTAAAACTAGCTTAGGCTACACCACACATTGTGAGGCTCAGTTTAATGACAACTCCAAATGTTTAGCCAAAGAAAAAAAAGTAGCTACTATGAAGACATGTGTGAATCAGAAACAGACAATAAAGCCAATGATAAAAGAAAAGAAAAGCTACAAGTAAAGTGAAAGGCTCTTTAAGAACTTCTCATGCACAGCTTTGAGCCATCATGAAAGGAACATCAGTTTGTGGTAGCTTAACGAACCATTTTGAGCTAATTCAGTCCAAATCTAAAGATGCTCAATTTCCAATGATATGAAACTATTTCGGAAATCATTTGAGAAGCTAACAGATTGTTTGCCATTTTGTTATTTAAAAATGGCTCGAGCAAGTACTAATTCTCCAATAAGTTAAAAACTGCTTTTTGAATCCATGTATTTATAGGTTAAAAGCTTTACAGCCCAGGAAAAGGTAATTTCCACGCAGCACAAACTCCACAATACTAAAAGTAGCTTTTTTGTAATTGTCTAACACATGAAACCTGCCATAACAGTTTCAGACGTATTTTGTAAAACTATACGTCAGGAAACGGAACCCTAAAAAACCAGAAGCGATATGTCAGTGAGACAGTTATTAAGTGAATGTGTAGTGACTGAATAATATAATGTTACATGTCATTAGTGCAAAGAAAACGCAGAAAGGTTAAAGTGAAAGCAAAAAGTTCCATTAATGTTCAATAACTGCGGGACACCAGTTGATCTGTCTCGTGAACGTTACACTTGTTCGTGATGCACGTAGAGATAAAACTCACCGGATGTTTCTCTCTTTCTCCCTCAGTCTGCTTCCAACAGGTTCTCAATATCTTTCAGTATCTTTAAACTTTATGAAAAGTTTAAATCCCGCTACATTTCTACCTCTGGTTCAGTTTCCTGAAGCCGAAGTTAAACGTGTGTCCTTTTCTCTGAAGTGACGTGGAAAAGGACATTTAAAGGGGAACTGCAGCAATATTTCGATAAACATTGCTGCAGTTCCCCTTTAAATGTATAAACTGTACTTTCATCACCAAGTAAAGTCCTGCCTCCCTTCATCCAAACATACAAGTAGGTAAGGCTAAACAATTAGTTCATACAAATTGCGGTTGGTTAATAAAGCAATGTTTGTTGATAACGTCAAAAGAATACTACCTTCTTCCAGTATCCTTCTGAACAACCAGTTTAATAAATAATAAGAATAATATGTAAACATTAAAACAAATCTAGGAGGAAAGCGAAGTTCCTAAATCTGTTAACTTCATTACATCATTATGTTTGCTTCAACTTTTAAAACACTATTCACTCGACATGTGTAATATTTATAAGAGTTTATTGAAAATGTATTTCGAAATAGAAAACATTGGCCTCCAAAGGTAAAGATGTTTTCATGAGGGAACACACAACAATGGAATCGTTTAGCACATAAGACAATAATCAAAATTAAAATCTGCATGCAAAGCCTAAGGATAATCATTCAGGATCAAGCATCCTTTCATTTATAAAAAATAGGTTCAAAGCTGACTCAATCCATCTGGGATTTGCTGGATTCAAACATTACATGCAGGTGAGAACGCTAAATCATTTCTTACATCATTACATCACATGAATGACTTACATGGTTTGCTGAATCTGGTTTTAACCTTACAGGAAAACGTATTCATTTTACAAAATATGACTGGTCGAAGTGTAAAAAAAGGGCAAGAGCATTAAACATGAAGGTGCAAAAGCTATATTTGATAGAACCCCCCACAGAGACATTTACATTACTATTTCCCCATTGTAATCGTTTAAGACGCTTTTTTTTCTTGAGGCACAATGTACGATTAGTCTGAACAATGATTTATCCACAACATTCACTTATTTCCCTTTAGGTCATCAATGAGACATTTCTCCTCTTTCTCAAGGATTCTGTAGAAGACATATTTGCCATGAGGCCCTGCTGATTTCAGGGGACCACTGAAGAGTTCCCTCATCTGCTTCTGAGTGGTCCGGATTTCCATGATTTCATCGTAAATCGATGGAGTGATGACTTTTTCATCAAGGAGCTGATCCAAAATGTCTGCAACGCAGTTCACTCTCTTGATCAGCTCGGTCCTATGTTTATCCACAAAGTGCTCACCTGAGGAAGGAGGGAATAATGAGTAAAGTGTTGATGATACCATGAAGCCAACTTGATACATTTCTAAACAAATAATTTAATATTCTATAACAGTGACTTCTTTATTTTAAATACAGTGGAGGAAATAAGTATTTGATTTGTAATATATTACACTACTTCGTTACTCTCTACATAAAGTAACTCGTTACTTTACTCGTTACTTTACTCGTTACTTTACCCCTCCCTCCCTACAGGCAGATCACGCAGACTGCGGCGCACCTACAGTACGAACAGCTGTAGGTCCAACACATTAAGTTGACGAAACACTCGAGTCAAATGTAATTAAAGTCAGATCGTGTCTTAGACGGGGCAGTGATATCATAAACCTGTTAATGTACGCATTCAAACACTTTTTCTGTTAGCAGCTGTATTCACCTTGCAGGTGCAGCTATGTAGGGATGGGTATCGTTTGAAATGTATCGATTCCGATTCCGATTCCGGTTCTGCTTATCAATTCCGGTTCTTATCGATTCCCCGTTTCGATTCCAAAATTGTAAAAGAAAGAGGTCAAACGTTTAGATAACAAAAATATTTTTATTCTTTTCAGCTTTAACTGAAATTGTTACAAATAAAAAAATATACATGCAATACAAATGTATTGCACAATAGCTGTGCTTTATTTGAACTGAGCTATGCCTGTGGCAAGCTATTAACACTGTGCCCAATTGTCTTTTTATTTTTTAGTGTAGTGGAGCCTCACTTCAGAGCGTTTACCGCGACCCATCTTTGGTGTTATGAAGTGACTGAGCTCGTGAACTGTCTACGGGAGGGCGGGGGGAGCCTCGCTGCGGGGCAACTGTGGACCTCTGTCGCCTGTCAGCGCAACTTACATGATGCCGTTTAAAAAAATTAAGGGCGGTGCCGGCCATCAGTGTACCGAGCCGGCCGTCAACGGCCCGCTGACGACCGGCCGTTCTGTGATTCTCCAGGTCCGCCCTGTATTCCACCGGGTCGCCGCGGTACAGACGGACCCGCTGGAATACAGGGTCTACCGCGTTTAGGAACCGTTAAGCAGAACTGAAAAGGTGTATTTTGTACCGGTACCCGGTACCCGGCATTTTCTTATCGGTTCTCATCTGGAACCGAGTTTCGGTTCCCAACCCTACAGCTATGTGGCTTTTATCCTGGATAAAGTGTTTAAGTCATGGATGTTTAAAGTTTAACTTCTTCATATGTCTAATATTATAGTTTTTTATATAGACTTTTCATTCAGGAAGTATGACGCTGCGCTGTCAGTACGCTTCTCCATGTTTGTGATTGGTCGAATGCTCCAAATACCACCCCTTTCATGTGAACGCGCACCTAACTAGATAGGACACGGCTGGCTTGAGCGATCCACTCAGTCTATGGATCCACTTGATAACCCGGGTCGTATTACCGTTTAGCGAGAGCGCGTATGTTTTGGATTAGGCCAACCGGCTAACTCAAACATATCCAGGTTAGGTTGAACCAGCTTCGTAGTACAGGCCCCAGAGGGGCATACCACCCCTCGAAATGTATCGCTGACTCAGCCATGTTTATGCAGCACTGCACGTGGAGATGTGGACGCGCAAGTCGCACAACGCGTTACACCCAACTCTGATTGTAAGTAAGAATATTAAAAAGATAATCCAGAAATTGACATTATACAAAAGATAACAATTTATTTGCATTTAACTGTAGGAAATAAGTATTTGATCCCCTTGCAACAAACAAGGATTCTGGCTCCCACAGACCGGTTACAGAAGTCCTCTTCCTTTAAAAAAGTACTCCTAATATCAACTTGTTAACTGTATAAAAGACACCTGTCCACAGAATCAATCATTCAGATTCCAGCCTCTCCACCCTGGGCAAGACTAAAGCGCTGTCTAAGGACCTCAGGGACAAGATTGTAGACCTGCTCAAGGCTGGGATTGGCTACAAGACACCCAGAAAGCAGCTTGGTGAGAAGGAGACCACTGTTAGTGCGATTATACGGAAATGGAAGAAACATTCAATGACCATCAATCACCCTCGGTCTGGGGCTCCACACAAGATCTGGCCTAGTGGGATCACAGTCACCAAGAAAACTATTGGTAACACATACATAAAATCCTGCAGCACCTGCAAGGTCCCCTGCTCAAGAAGGCACATGAAAGGCCCCTCTGAAGTTTGCCAATGGACATCTGAATGATTCAGAGAAGTGGTTGACCCACGGGGATCACAAACCAAAATCAAGTGTGCACCCACCGTCTGCCATGGTGTATTGAGCTGTCTCTCCAGCTGAGGGTCCAGCAGCTGAAACAAATTGAGGGAAAATTACAATTGCTTAATGATGGACAGGTTTAGTCTTTATGCCTTTTTTTTCATGCACACAGCAACATAGCAAAATACGGTCATTCAATGTGTCAATGATACATGCACTGTCATTGGTTGCCATTTTAATAGAAGACCTAAAACAATAAGACTGATGTTATTCTATATTCAACTAAATGTAAAGATTAAAAGCAACAATGTGTTACTCCACGTCTTGTTACGATTATTGGGTTATGTCACGTTTTCTATGTCTTGTTTTGGGTGTTTTGCTGTTCTCCCTGTCATGTTTTCCTCTGGGTATATTGACTGGTCCTTTTCCCTGTATTTTTTTCCTCCCGTCGTTAGTTTCCCTGGTGTGTCTAGTTGTCTGATTGTTTTCACCTGTGGCCCTTGTGTTTCTCCTCCCCTGCCCGGCTGTTTCTCGTCTTGTGATTACCCCTCCCTGTATTTAGTCTTGTCTCTTCCTGTGTTCAGTGTCGGTTCGTCTTGTGTCATGACTAGTTCGTCGGTGAGTGTTCTGTTTTGTCTTTGTTTATCACCTAGCCTTGAAATAAAGAAATGTTCACGTTAATCTGCATTTGGGTCCTGCCTGCTTCACACACCGTAACATTACGAACCGACCCGACAAATGGACCCAGCAGATGATCCATGGGAGGTAGAATTACAGCATTTTACCTTCTATCTGGCTTGCTGCTTCGATTGGTGGAAGGGAGCGTCCAGTGTTCGGCAGAAGAGGGCCACTCTGGTAGAGGCGCACCGGTTGGCAGCAGAGAAACAATGTTTTGTGGAGTTCTTACCTGACTGGATTTTGGACTTCCTTGAAACATGTGATTCCCGGCCTGCTAGCCCCAGGCATGCTAACTCCATGTCTCCCAATTCCCAACCTGGCACCATACGCCTTGGTGGGTTCCGCCTGAAGTCAACCCGTGCTTCTGCCCCAGTTCCTGCTCTAGGAGTTGTATTCCGGAACTCGGCTGGCTTATGGAGGTCCACGGAGTATTCAGGCGGCTGCTAAGAGAAGTCGTCGCAAGGCCAGGCTAGCAGCCCGAGCAGCCATGGTTCCGGCTACAGAACCGGCCCACACAGCCATGGTTCCAGACCCAGTTCTGGCCCCAACAGCCATGTTTCCGGCTCCAGAACAGGACCTTACAGCCATGTTTCCGGCTTCAGAACCGGACCTTACAGCCATGATTCTGGCTTCAATTCCGGCTCCAGAGCCGGCCCATTCAGCCATGTTTCCGGCTCCAGAACCGGACCTTACAGCCATGTTTCCGGCTCCAGAACCGGACCTTACAGCCATGTTTCCGGCTCCAGAACCGGACCTTACAGCCATGATTCTGGCTTCAATTCCGGCCCCCGCAGCCATGGTTCCAGACCCAGCTCTTGCCCCAGCTGCCATAGTCCCATCTCTGGTCCCCTCTCTAGTCTCTTCTCGAGTTCCCCCTCTAATCCCTTCTCTAGTCCCTTCCCTAGTCCCTCCTCAGGTCACTTCTCTAGTCCCATCTCCAGTTCCCTCTCGAGTCCCCTTTCGAGTTCCTTCTCGAGTCTCCTCTCAAGTCACCCCTCCAGTCCCCTCTCGAGTCACCTCTCGAGTTCCATCTCTAGTCCCTCCTCTAGTCAATTCCCTAGTCCCATCTCTAGTCACTTCTCGAGTTCCCTCTCGAGTCCCTCCTCGAGTCCCCTCTCTAGTTCCCCTCGCGAGTCCCCTCTCGAGTTCCCTTCTCTAGTTCCTCCTCTAGTCTCTCCTCGAGTCCCCTCTCGAGTTCCCCCTTGGTTCCCCTCTCGAGTTCCCCCTTGGTTCCCCTCTCGAGTCTCCTCTCGAGTCCCCTCTCGAGTCACGTCTCAAGTCCCTACCCAATGTCCTGGTCCGTTGGAGGTTCTGCCGGGTGTCCTACCAATCGTATGTCTGTCCCGTTGGAGGTCCCGCAGTCTACTCTCCTGCCGGGGGTCCTGCCAGCTCCTTGTCCTGTCTCGTTGGAGGTCCCGCCGACTACTCTCCTGCCGGGGGTCCTGCCAACCCTTTGTCCTGTGTCGTTGGAGGTCCCGCCGTCTACTCTCCTGCCGGGGTCCTGCCAGCTCCTTGTCCTGTCTCGTTGGAGGTCCCGCCGACTACTCTCCTGCCGGGGGTCCTGCCAACCCTTTGTCCTGTGCCGTTGGAGGCCCCGCCAACTACTCTCCTGCCGGGGGTCCTACCAACCCTTTGTCCTATCCCGTTGGAGGTCCCGCCGTCTACTCTCCTGCCGGGGGACCTGCCAGCTCCTTATCCTGTCTCGTTGGAGGTCCCGCCGACTACTCTCCTGCCGGGGGTCCTGCCAACTCTTTGTCCTGTCCCGTTGGAGGTCTCGCCGTCTACTCTCCTGCCGGGGGTCCTGCCAATCCTGTGTCCTGGTCCTCTTCCGTGGGGGATCCTGCCGAGGCCTGTCCCACCAGCTCCGACACCGGGTCCTGCCCGGCCTCCGGCGCTGTCCTGTCAGCGCCTTCCTGCCCGGCCTCCGGAGCTGTCTGGTCTTCACCCTCGATCCCGGCCCCCTGAGAGCCACGGCCTTCGCCCTTGGGCCCGGCCCCCAGACTTTCCCGGCCGCGGCCCTCGCCCTCATGCTCGGCCCCCTGAGTTCGCCCGCGGTGGCTTTCGCCCCTCCATAACCCTCACCTTGGACTCTGTCTTGCCCCCGGGCCATCCACCCGAGTCCCCCTTCTCGGCTTCTGCCTTGCCCCCGGGCCGTCTGCCCGAGATCCCTTCCGGGTCCTCCGCGGTGCTCCTGGGTTGTCAGCCCAAACCTGTCCTCCTGACCCCCTCCACCCACCCTGGTGGCCCTAGTTTTGTGGATATCATGGTGAAATCATGATGTCAGACTGCACTTTGTATAACGTCATATCTCCTAAGTGTCTTTTCCTGGTTTAAGTGCCTGCATTACATATTTTGTGAAAGCACGAATAATCAACCCTACAATTTTGGTGGAATATATTTGACCAGAAATATTTGGAAATTTGATTATGTCCATATCGCACAGCCTTAAATGACTATGCACCATTATTCACACTACTTTTATGTAAATGTACATCAAAATTCAGTGTCAAGACAGTGTCGTTCTCAATGTGAAGGGTGCAGTTTGAGGAGAAATGTTAACCTGCAAATTCTGTAGACAATATTCCCATTTGCTAGTCTATTATTTTTCATCCATAACCCAGCTGCAGACCCTGCTATGTCTTTTGTGTGGGGCTTTTAAGTTTTTGTGGACTAAAGACTTTTTGCTTAGGTGGAAAATAAATGGTATCCTTTTCAAGTCTTCTATTTTATAATAGCAAGAAAACCTAATGTAGATAAACAACTCACTGTCCCTTGATTCATTTTCTGAGGACGGTCCACCCGTAGATTCCTCTGTAAAATAGATGGATATGGTTAGTCAGAAATATGATGGATGACAATTTGACATAAACTTTAGTGTAGGACACACTAACACTGCATGCTGTGATTGGCTGTTTAAACTGGTTAAAGGCAATGTATGATGATAATGTGTTGGGTTTTGTAATTCCTCTCTTGTGCTTATTGACATCTTGCTCTTCCAAAAGTGTTCTCAGGGTGTGTGCAGTTCAGCTGGCAGATGTGTTCACAGACATCTTCAACAGGTCCCTGCTGCAGTCTTGTAGTCCCTGCATGTTTCAAATACTCTACCATAGTTCCTGTCCCCAAAAAGACTAAAACCACCAGCCTCAATGACTACCGCCCAGTGGCACTCACCTCCATCATCATGAAGTGCTTTGCGCTGTTAGTCAAAACATTCATCACCTCCTCCCTCCCTGACTCTCTGGACCCCCTGCAGTTTGCCTACAGAGCAAACAGGTCCACAGACGCCATCACCCTCACCATCCATAGTACCCTCTCACACCTGGACAAGAGGAACACATATGTGAGAATGCTGTTCATCGACTACAGTTCAGCTTTCAACACCATTGTGCCTTCAAAGCTGGTCCCCCATCACCCCAGCAACAAACTGTTCTGTCTGCTCCCGAATGGCAGGCGGTACTGCAACATCAGGACGAAAACCACCAGACTCAGAGACAGTTTCATCCCAGAGTATTTTTTTATGTGTAGTAATTGCACTGTTGAGGAACCTGCGATCTAAGTTCTCATTCATAAAACTCCATTCGATGTCTCACTATGGGATGCGCCTCAACGCGTATGCAAACAGAAGCATCAATCTCATTACGCCAATCCTGATTGGCTGGTGATCTTGACGTCTACGTCAGGGAATCCACCCACCCTTTAAGTAGCTTGCGCTACGTCGCAGCGTCATTCAAACACCTCTTCTCGCTTCAGAGCACATCTCGAATATCAGTAGCCGGGCTAGCTTAACGGTCCACAGACTGAACCCAAGCTAACATTCGGTCGATGGGCGCTTGCCGGTTACTTTTTTGCTTTGCACACCAGTTAATATTGTAATCTGCCCGCCGTTTTTTCTTTCGAAATAACGGTAAGGTTTGATTTTTTCTTCAAACAGTAACATACCTGTTGCTAGTTTATCCCTCCGCACCGACACCACGGCGAGCGGGGACGGACTCTTCTCTCCCTCACACCAGAGGAGACGGAGATAAGAAAGATATTAACACACCAGTTAATATTTTTTAAAGAAAAATCTACCCGGTCGTTTTTTCCTTTCGGAATAACGCTAAGGTTGGATTTTTTTCGGTAACATACCTGTTACTAGCTTAATTGTCCCTCCGCGCCGACACCCCGGCAAACGAGGGTGGACCCTTCTCTCCCTCACACCAGAGGAGTCGGAGGCTCGGCTCGGAGGCTGCGGGTTTAGAATCTCGGGCACGGACTCACACCAGGTCTGCTCGTCCTGCCTTGGGCTGGAACACGCCCAGGAAGCTATCGATACCCCCGGTTCGTGCGGGCATTGTGCCCGCTTCACCATCAAGAGCCTCTGCCGACGGCTAGCGCGCCAAGCTAGGGACGGGACCCCTTCATGTCCGTTGATTCGCCGGCCGGCAATCGGGACATGGTGGCGACCGCTGCGGAGATTGAGCCCCGCGCTGTGTCAGGCTGGGGCGCAACAACGGCGGTAGCCGCGGAATCGGTGAGGGGTCTCTGGAGCAGAGACCTCCAACGGTCACACATAAATTATCTGGAGCTTTTAGAGGTGTTCCTCACCCTGAAATGCTTTCTGCCTTTTCTCAGAGGATATCATGTCCTCGTGAGGACAGACAACACGGCCACAATATCGTATATAAACCGCCAAGGGGGTTTGCGTTCTCTCCAGTTACACATGCTGGCACGCAAACTGATCTTATGGAGCTGCGGACGTCTCCTCTCTCTGAGAGCGACGCACGTACCAGGAGTGATGAACCTCGGGGCAGATCTGCTGTCCAGAGGTGCACCACTATATGCAGACTGGACTCTACATCCAATGATTGTGAGTCAGCTGTGGGTGCGTTACGGCCGGGCCGCGGTGGATCTGTTCGCATCAAAAGAAAACGCTCAATGTCAGCTGTTCTTTTCAATGCGCGATTTAAACGCACCGTTAGGCGTGGACGCGCTCGCGCACGCTTGGCCTCCGGTCCTTCTGTACGCGTTCCCACCCCTGTATGGCTCTGATACCCCCAATTCTGGCCAGAGTGAGAGAACAACGCCACACACTTATCCTGATAGCTCCGCACTGGCCTGCAATGTACTGGCTGGCGGAGATATATCAGCTGCTATGCGGGCAGCCGTGGCAGCTCCCGCTACGCAGGGACACACTGTCTCAGGCGGGGGGGACGATTTTTCACCCACACCCAGAGCGCTTGGCACTATGGGCCTGGCCCGTGAGTGGTATAACCTGAATACAGTGGGACTCCCTCAGAAGATGATAAACACTATTCAGAGTGCAAGAGCTTCCTCCACCAGGTCCAGGGTCGGCTCTAGAACAAATCGAATGGGGGGGCAATCATTTACCAAGGGGGGGCACACACTGCCGTCAACAACCAACACACAAACACCAACGCAACTTCAATTTCAAAAAACATGCTGTAAAGTCTATTGTCTTTCGCACACATTGCAGGAGTGTAGTGCTATTTTATAGCGCACCTATGACTTGTGCATACATGCACGGTTGTGGCACGACCACCAAAACAGAAACATATGGACATAGCTGGCCACCATATAAAAAGTGTGCAAATTTATTTAGTATCCTATCCATGTGAACATGTTTTAGGTGGGGGTGGACCTAACCTCCTCTAGGAGGGTCTGGGGGCATGCTCCCCCGGGAAGATTATTTTTAAAATATTGAAGTTAAATGCATCAATCTGGTGCACTTTGAGAGCAAAATTAAGAGATCTATGGATAGCCTACATCTCTCAGCATCCATATGAAACAGAACTGTACACAGATTTACTTTTTCTTTAGGGATATTTTACTAATCACTCCCCTTTTAAACTGTATTCTTGTGTTACTGTCCTATAGTATTTCATACCCGTTTTTCATTTATTCTCTTATTCGTTAATAACTATAGGCTAATGATCATATAAATGTGTTCCTCGCAAAAACTTGTTTACATAAATGGTGACCAAACCGTTTGAGACCCACTGAGATAACTTACACTAACGTGAACTATCTAAACACTGAGAGAGTCCTTACCTCACTGAGCTGAGGTTATACGATCCTCTCACAAAATGCGATCGTGCCACACACACACAGAGCCGAGCTTGAATGAAACACAGAGACCCAAAAGTAGGCTACTTGTACTGTATATCATATTATTTTCGATGGCTTTACTGTATAATCAGTGTAACAGATGAACAGATTGCCACCGGCTTTCATCTAAACACACAGCCACGTAATGATAACAAAACAAAGGTCGGGGGTCATTGGTCAAGCAACACACCAATCAGAGAGCAGCAGTGAGCACACCTCAGGCTGTGTTTTATATTTGTATTCTTTATTTCTGATATATTTCACACAAAAAACCTTTAGTGGAAACGTTTTCACTTATATGATTTAAAAAAAAAAAACGGCAGAGTGGCAAGGCTTGCCCACCCTGCGTTGGGGGGGCACAGTGACTCATTTGGGGGGGCATGGCCCGCGAATGACCCCCCATGACGCCGACCCTGACCACGTCCCTCTATGACTGTAAGTGGAGGGTGTTTGAAGAGTGGTGCCTTCAAAAAGGACACATCTCTTTTCAATGTCCTGTCGGGGTGATTCTATCATTTCTACAGGACCTGATTGATAAACACAGAGCTTTCTCTACGATCAAAGTGTACCTGGCTGCTATTGCTGCATGCCATGTGGGCTTTGAGTGAAAGACGGCTAGCCAACATCCCTTGGTCTGCCGTTTTATGAAAGGGGCTCGCAGGCTCCTCCCTGTTTCCAGGTCACTGGTGCTCTTATGGGACTTGGCAGTGGTTTTAGATGGGCTCACTCGACCTCCATTTGAACCCCTGGAAGAAGCTGACATGAAACACCCGTCACTGAAGACAGTGCTGTTACTGGCTCTGGCATCTGCCAAGCGAGTCAGTGACATTCATGCGCTCTCTGTACATCCTTCATGCACTCAGTTTGCCCCGGGGCAAACGAGAGCGTTGCTGAAGCCCAACCCTGCCTTTGTACCTAAGGTGGTTGGCTCATGTACCCTGTTGAGATCTTCATATGAAGTGAATACTTAAAACGAAAGTTAATTGAGATCATGGTATGAAGTGAATACTTAAAAACGAAAGTTAATTATAAATCATACATGATCAATCATATTCTTGTATAAACCCATAATGAGAATGCTTCTTGACGGTTTTTGAATATGTATCTATGCTTACAATTTTTTCTGTTGCTATTTGAGAACTTTGCGTTTTGAAAAGAGGGTGTTGTGAGTTTTCATAGTATGTTTAATACTTAAAAACGAAAGTTAGTTATAATCAAATATAATCAATTATATTCTTGTATAACCCACAATGAAAATGCTTCATATTTTAGGTTTTCTATAGTTACAGTATAAACAAAACAAAGTGGGTTGTTTAGGTTGAGTTTTCTTCCTCTCCTCTGGCAGCAGTCCACAGGGAAGGGGGGGGGGGGGCTTCACACTAAGGAGACACATTAAGAGGCCAAAGAGAGTTCATGTCCTTTTCACCCTAACATGAGAGGAGGAGTTTGTTTTTTGGGTTTAGGATCCAGTTTTTTTAGCATAAAGAGACTGGTTTTTTGAGAGAGCGCGAGAGAGGGGGGGAGACCCCTGGTAGACTCTCTCCGGGTAGGCTGTGTGCTTCAGAGCTGGGTTAATAGCTCTCGGTAAGGTCCTTCTAGACGGGGTAAATATCTCTCGAATTTATTGGTTGTTGGCTGAGTGGAATTATTTGATGAGAGATGTGTGTATGAACCTTTATAAATACCGCGACCTGTGGGGAAATCTGGCCCCCCGAATTTTGCGGACAGGTATGGGTTTTTGAGTGTTAATCCGCCGTCTGTGTCGGAAAAAACGGTATGAAACTGATGAGAATTGAGTTGGTGAAATTAAAAAGTTGAATGCGCTTTTTATTGTCACCGGTCTTTTTACGAGGAAATACCTCTAAATTCTATCGGGAGAATTTTAAAATGTCACAACTGAAATGGGCAGTTGAAATTAAAACATTTTGGTAATAAATGTAAGACTGTGAATTAAAGTTTCATTTGAACATGATCACAGCACGGTTTTTTTTGTTAGTATGATTATAATGTTGTGAGAGAGAAGGTAAAAACCCTGTATTAGTTTGGACCTATTTTTCTTCAAATAAACTGAATCCCACCTGTTGGATTGGGATCCTTTAAAAGACACCTGTGCTCTCCTCTCCTGCGTCAAAGGTAAGATTGCACCCTGCCACACACACTTAGGTAGGAGCACACTCCATTTACTGATATCAAAATCCTTCGGGATCGCTTAAACAGATTAAAAAAGAGTTGTCTGAATTGAAACAGCAGTTAATTGAACCTGGTTCTTCGGGGGGGTTAGGAAGAGGTGAGATCTTGCTGACGTTGGTGGATCTGAGCCAAGCAGCAAACTTACATAGACTCAATAATCTTCGGAAAGGTCAATTAGGAGGTCAGAGTAATTTACCGGAATAAATTATCAGGACCTCTCAAAACTCTAAACAACCCCCATTGACATTGTGGCATTTCCTCCGCCGCTGTGTTCCTCTGAGGAACAGCGGCCGAATTTGCTGTTCCCAGTCCGTGCTTTACGCACCTCTATGGACAGGTCAAGAGAGTTTCGATGCAATGACCAACTCTTTGTATCCTGGGCTAACCCTCATAAGGGCAAGCCCGTTACCAGGCAACGGCTCTCCCACTGGATTGTGGAAGCGATTGCTCTGGCTTATACGAGTCAGGGTTTGCAGGCACCAACGGGCCTGCATGCTCATTCTACTCGTGGACTGGCTACATCCTGGGCTTTGTTCAAGGGTGTTTCCATCCAAGACATTTGTGCAGCAGCGAGCTGGTCCTCACCGCTCACTTTTGTCTGCTTTTACAGGCTAGATGTCTCTGCTCCAAGTGTGGCCCGTGCAGTGCTGGGCCCCGTGTTGAGACAGGGTTCTACCTGTTAAATTCTGGTTGTTTTGGTGATTTTCGAGATAAGCATGTCTAGCAATACGGGAGTTTCAATATCCCATAGTGAGACATCGAACGGAGTGTTATGAATGAGAACTATATGTTACTTACGTAACCCCAGTTCTCAGAGTAACATGAAGTGAGAAGGGCCGTCTCACCAGACGGCCCTTCTTGCTAAGGCGAAGCGAGAAGAGGTGCTTATTTTTTAATGACGCTGCGACGTAGCACAAGCTACTTAAAGGGTGGGTGGATTCCCTGACGTAGACGTCAAGATCACCAGCCAATCAGGATTGGCGTAATAAGATTGATGCTTCTGTTTGCATACGCGTTGAGGCGCATCCCATAGTGAGACATCACACTTCATGTTACTCTGAGAACTGGGGTTACGTAAGTAACTACACCATAGTTGTGTATATGTTATGACAATAAACCTTTGAATCTTGAATCAAAGGTTGCTTTAAAAACAGCTTTTCTGTTGCACTTCACAATCAGAAAATAGAAAATAACTTACTATCCACTGGACCAGAAATGGAGGGTTGTCCACCTGTCTCTTTCACTGCAAAAATAGGAATATGCAGTGTTGCATTAATAAAAAGAAAAAAAACGTGTATGTTAAGATTCTTATAGATGTAATGGAAATATAATTTCAGTAACTGTAAATACAAACGTTTTTGAAAAACTTTTTTTTTTTAATATGCAGCATCTTACCATCTGAATCACCAGAGTTTCGTAACTCAACTGAAATACAGAACATACAAAAGATGGATTTTTCATATTTTGTTTTCATGTATTGTATTCTCATTAACACATTAAAATAAAGTTAATTTGTATTATGTTTGGACATACAATGGGATTGGGCTCTCTTTAATTAAATATAATCCTTTTTGCATAACACCTTAGTTAATTAAAAGGTAAAAGAAAGATATTTTTTTTCATATGGTGTACAGGAAGTAATAATGCCCACTGACCTTTCAGAATCTGATAGCTCCATACTCGTTCACACCGTGGTTTGCGTTTCCCTTTGTTAAGTTGTGAGAGTGTAAGGTCGAAGTCACTGATTGGATTCTTAAAGTGCACGTCAAAGAATATTGAGCTTTGGCTACTATTTCTGAGGGTTATTTCCTGTGTGAGAAGAAAAAAAAGAAATAACATAGAGGGATGACAACATGGGATGTGAGGGTCAATATTGAATAAACTAAAGATTTCAGTTGTTAAAAAAAAGTGAATTAGTCACATGGCCAACAGAAAAAATGATGCTGGTTATTTCAAATGGAGAAGTCCTTATTGTTTAACTTAAGTTTGATGGTATATACATGCTGGTTTTTGACTAAGTCCACAATTTGATATGCCACTGTTAAATTACCAGCATCAACTTTCTCCTCCCCTAGATTAACACATTTTGGCTAGTGAACCATATAGCTAATTCTTCTGTCTGTATGGCATATCTTGTTATTATGTATTTATTAAACAAGGATCATGCATAACAATACTTTAATTACAAAAAGGGAAGAGATGATTTATGGTAGAATTTAGCTATAAGATAATTTCCATCTGCAGTCCCTGGGTAGGTAAATACATAAAAATCAACAAAAGTGCAGATCTGTAAAATATAAATACCATCATATTTTACGCTCAGCTCAAAGGATATCCCAATGCCTGGTGGTTGTAAATTAAAAAGCTGATGGTGCAAAGGCATTGGGATAAACCCCTTGAGATGCACCATCTCGTTTTCAAGGGGGTCCCGGGATGTTTAAGACTAGTGGAGACCTTGAGGTTCTGACTATTTGTGAGTTCCCTTGATATTGATATATTAAACAGTAACCATTTCGACGTCTCACTGCAAGGTTGACACAGGTATTATTTACAAAATCAATAACTGTCCCATTTTAATTAGTGTCACATCCATTCTAGTCTAGTCAGCATTAGCAATACCAGGAACCTGGTCCAATTTACTGGCAATGCAAACTGTACCTCTGGGCGAATCTTGGCCGTTATGCCTGCTGTGAGGTTGAAATCTTGGTGCAGCGGCAGGCCCTTGTTTGTGCATGGCTTGTAGATACATTTGAAGTCTTTTTTCATCTTGTCGATGGCCTGGGAAAAAAAATCAATCTAAGCACAACCCTGCTTAAAGTTTACAGTAAGAAACATCTGTGTTTAAAATACATTCATGAAACAATAAGGTTTTAACAACAGAGTATTAGGGTCAGTATCTAGTAAAATAAATATTTCTTTTAGATTTTGTTATTTCAGAATGGCCACTGAGGAAAAGGTCATGATAAAAAAGTCATACCTTCGAGAAAACGTTTTGAGAGTAACTAAATAAGTGAGATCAAACCAAGCTGCAGCATCATCGACAATTACCACTGAATAGGTCTAGGTTCAAGTATTTAACATTTATAGCAACACGTGAAACAGTTAAATTGGCTTAAATGCTTTGTTGTTTGAAGCAGCTCTCCATGGAGCAGAACTTTCCCTCGAGTGATAATCTAAAAAACGAAATTATATCTCGCTTGATCAGTATTATCAGGGAACACATTATAACACCATGATAAGTATAAGGTTATATGTCAACCATGTATCGATCATTGAGAGTCATGTTGCAAACATAGCTTCTAGCTTTGGACAGAGCTAGCTCTGTTTGTAGGGACTTGGCTTGGTGACCAGAGAGTTGCAGGTTCAAGTCCCTGAACGGATCAAGTGAAGAGTGGGGACTGATACTTTGTGAGGTGGCAGTTGGTCTCCTGGTCATGCTGAGATAACCTTGAGCAAGGCACCAGAGCCCCACACTGGGAACTGTAATATAGCAGTCAACTGCTTCTTGTTTAAGGATGGGTTAAAGGCAGAGACTAGAATTCACTGTGTGCGGTGCTGTGTTCCTGTTTGACGATTGGAAGTTGATTGTATTAAAATCCTCCATTTCCATAACACACAATAGGACCCTTTTCAGATAATATTTCCTTTAAATGTTTTCCCTCACTTATGACTTTACTCTCATAACAGGACTACTTTAAGAATTAAAGATGCTATTTACACAATTTAGCCCAAATACTCCATTGTAGGTTTTGATTCATTTTGAATGTGTGACAGTAAGATATTCAGTAACCTCTTTAAGAGCAGGATCGAGCGGGATCAGGTAAACATGAAGAACGGTGTCGGATTCGTAGGCTTTTGAATAAATCAACACGTTACAGCGTATTTTTACTGGAAAGCCCATTTTCATCAGGACCGCTCTTGGAGAGAAAACTGGTTCAGACAGCTTGACATGGGACGATGTGACTTCAGACACTGTTTCCACAACATCTCCACAGTCATCTATGTGCAGGACTGCAAACTTTTGCAATACTTTAGGGATTTCATCTGCATAGTATAAAGCACAATAAATGAATGTGAATAAAACAATTGCATTGATTATTTTGATATTTTCCTCCATGATAATGATGTGGCAGGTACACTTCAAATAACTTCCCAGAAATCACTGTGATGTCTATCAGGGGACCTGCAGGCATGTATCTCATCATTTCCATCCTCTTCATGGGTTCCTCCGAAGAGCAAAACTGGTACTTAAAGCTGACCTTGTCCTGACAGACCCAGCGCAAGCCTGAGACACTGCATTCAAAGTTTCCCGCTTCAGACTTTAGGCTAAAATATAATGAAAAAAATAAAGAGTTTGCATTTGGTACAAAATGTAGCATTAATACTATTGGGGAAATATTTGTAGCAGATCTTAGTGTTCTCTCTGTGAAGAAATCCCAAGACCGAAGCTTCAGTGTTTACTATATTTCCAGTTTGATAATATGCAGTATTTAGGAAACTATTAGTACCTGTAAGTTGATGCCTCATCTTCATCTGTACTGTTCACCTCAGGTTCAAGTTTAGTCCAGCCACTGGAGTCCTTCTGCAGAGGCAATCATTTTTACAAATAAGTGAAGATGTGTCATTTGGAAAAATCACATAAATGATCAACAAATAACTGAATACATAAATAAAATGTAAGGAATTACCGTCATTTTTCCGATACCCTCAAGATCCAAGCTTCTTGAAGCCCCTTGTGAAGAAACAAGACTTAGTATAAAATGATGTTACTATGAAAAATTAAATCTATGCCCTTTAGCACTATGTGCTACATAGCGCTGATGTAGCAATAGAGCAAATTTGTTATGCAGGAAATACTGGTGAGTGATGTCTTTTTGGAAGCTTGAAATAATCCAATAAAAATACACTTGACTTTTCACACCTTTGGATCCTAAAGTGATGTTTGACAACTTTTGCTCCAGACCATAATCTTCTTTCATCTTCTCTAAAATATCCATTGTCACCTCCATAGACTGTTGGCCGTAGATCTCCACCATCAGATCCACAATCTCAACTCTCCCCGCCGTCTCTAATCTCTGACTTGAGATTCTTTGGAGGCCACGCTTGAATTTCTCGAGCTCTCCGTGACTTAAATCTTCCAGTGTTTCCAGAAGCTTCTCCTCCAGTGATGTCACGGTTACTTCCTAATGGATTCAAATGTCATCAGAGGGAATTAAATGTAATATCTCCACTAGTTGAAAACATTTTCCACCTCTTTACTGTCAACATTTGCAAACTGTAAAACCTAAATGAGAGCCGTGTTGTGTAAAGTGTGTCTGATGTGATATGACTCACTTCCTTCGGTGGTTTGGACGGATGTTTATCTAAGGAGAAAACCAAGGAAAAGCCTCATCATGACTGATTCAAAATCAGATTATCAACGACTTCTTAAAGGAAAGGTTTTTTTTTTTTACTCCTCTAGTCACAAAGAATCGAAGAATTTTAATAATCGGGAGCCGTGTTCAACAACAGGAAAACGATATAAGCTATATAACTGCATGTATATAACACTTTCATTTACAAACTCCCACATAACTCGTGCAGTATAATCAAAGTCTCATTCATTCAGGCACTAGCTCACTACTTCTGATGTGTGGAGAAGAGTAACGCATTTCCAAGTATGAGACTGTTAATGCAAAAGTGTTTCAAACAGTGAGGTTGTTTTGGGATAGTTGTGCTGTTATTAAACACGCCCCCGATTTACTTAAATTCATAGAAATGTCTACATTGTTTGATTTGTTACTCACAGTGGAGTAATTAATTAAAGTTAATTATTCCTTAAAATTAAAAAAATAAAGTACAAAAGCATTGCAACAAATACAAAACTCATGACTATTAACTCTTCTGTGTGATGGAGCAGTTTTTGTTTTCTTTCTCTTACCTTTGAGTCTTAAGATAGTTTCTGATAATCTCTCCGCTAGATCAGTTCTGTCCATGTCCATTAAAACCTCCCTGGTCACCTCCACAGACTGCGGACTACAGGTCTCCACCATATGATCCACCAGCTGGAGTGTACGTTCTGCCCAATTGGGATATCCATAAGAGAGGTAGGATATGCTCTTCTGGAAGTACGTGAACGGCAGCAACCACTGAAATCTGTAGCGCTCAGGAACACTCAAATCCTTAAGAGTTTCCAAAAGGATCGGTTTCTCTGCTGCAATTTGTGCCTGAAAAATGTAACGGATGTGTAAGAAAAGGTGCTATTTCTTCTAAGATCTCTCAAGTCAAAGACACACTAACATCTGTTTTATTAAATATGTTTAGCTTTTTTCTTGACTAATGCACATTTGTATATGAGTGTTCAGACTTCAGTCTGCTAATCTGATCATAACATCAGTGGAAGAAAAATCATTTTGACGGAAGAGATCAACTTTAAAAATGGTTTGGTTTGCATCATCATCTTTATGTTCAAGATGGATATGGTTAACAACTTGCATCTATTGAATGCAAGCTGTGATGTGTAAAGTCAGACTCACTCCCTCGGACTGTGCAGGTCGATGTTCATCCACAGAGTACATCTCTGAAGAGAGAAAATAAAGTGAATGTCTAACACACAAGATCCCAGCAACAAAACTAAACTACTTCAACTTAAAACATTCTGTTTCTTGTTGAGACTATGTGTCGGTGGCCTTTTATGGTATTTTAATTATTTCTTTAATGTTTGTATGGATTCCTGTCCCATGTTTTTTTATACTTCATACTTCATTTTTTTCATACTGAAATATAAAATGTATGCAAGGTTTTTTCTTCTTCTTTGTCTTACCTTTGAGTTCTGAGCTGGGCTTTCTCAACCTCTGCCTCAGATCAGTCCTGTTAATGTCTTTCAAAACCTCCATGGTTATCTCTACACACTGTTGGCCGAAGATCTGAATGATCTCTTCCACTATTTGTGCTCTGCTTGTTGAGGAACTCAAAATCAAAAAAAAATATCTCGGCTTCTTCTTGGAGACAATTAAATCCAGGGTCTGCTTGAATTTCTCTAGATCCTCGTTTCTCAAATCATACAGAGTTTCCAAAAGCAGATGTTTAACAGCTGCCATTGTTGCTACCTGAAATAATCAATACATTCATTAGACATGTATATTTGCATCTCATCACAGTTAATGTTTCCCTTTAACTAAAATCTTCCTGCTTTCTTACAGTGCAGACGCTTTTCTGCTTGCTCTTGCCTCTGCTTACTTTTATGCTGATTTTCCTATTTTTCTTTTCTGAAAACTTCGAGCAGCGGCTCCTGGACATTAACTGATCACTGGGACAGTTATTCTTCGTAAATAGATGGAGTGTTTCAGCCATATTTCAATATTTTTACGACGACCTCAGTCTTATAGTAGCGTGGCCTAGCAACAGATAAAGTCTGGTACTGCAGTGAAACAACAGTCAGAAGTGCTGAAAGAAGACTTTAAATGTCTGTTGGAAACTGTCAGCTCTCTAAATGCGGAGGTGTTCATCAGTGGCCCTCTACCGCCAGTCAGAAGAGGAGTGGAGAGATTCAGCAGATTGTTTGCACTGAACACATGGCTTTCAACTGCCTGTACTGACCATTCTGTCCATTTTAACTTTTCTGGGACCGCAGACATCTTTTTAAGGCAGGTGGAGTTTGCCTGAACAAGACAGGAGTGAAATTGTTTATCTCTAACATATTCAACTGCCTGCGTCATCAATCTGTTCCCTCTGCCAAGGACAAGCAACAAGAGAAATCAAAACAAGAGAAAGACACAACACATCTCGCAGAAAACCTTGAAAAAGTATCGCTGCGCCAGCCTGAGGAATGTCTTGATTATGGGAAACCTATGACACAAATGAAGGCGTCTCCACCGCCCTTCACCCCCCCTATCACCTTTGAGGATACTCTTCCTTCACCCCCCAGCTCTCTCTACTCTCCGTTTACCCTTTCACCCTCGCCCACCTTCCTTGAGTTTGACCACATGAAGGAGATACAGAGAGTTGGCACCAAGTCCTTCCTGGAGATCAATTACCGCATGAAGGCGATACGCAGGGTTGGCAGCATGTCCTTTACCCCCGCCCCTCAACGACTCCCACCACAATCACCGAAGCAGAGACGCGCACCATCTCCCCCATCTTCATCACATCATCTTCAAGACAGCATCTGCGGTCTCCGAAGCCTGATAAGGATGTGTGTGTACAAAACGCAACAAACTCTAACTGATATGTGCTGGGTCCAGGCTCAAGGGCGTATGGCACTCTCAACTCTTTCCAGGACAAGCCGGGGCCCTGCCTGTCAGTAGCTTTGCTGATATCTGTGTTGATAGGTAATAGATTAAGAGCGGTGAATCTTAGAAACAGGAAGCGCTCAAACGTTTGTGTGAGTTTATCGAATTTAGCAGTGATTCCATGTCAGCCACAGCTTGTCACAAAAAATCTGACTGATAGTGTATCGAACTAACTTAAACTAGCTTTTATTACAGATACACGCTTTACAACATCAGGAAGATACGTCCCCAGCTGACACAGAAAGCGACGCAGGTTCTGGTCCAGGCTCTCGTTATCTCACGCCTAGACTACTGCAACTCCCTCCTGGCTGGTCTACCTGCATGTGCCATCCGACCTCTGCAGCTCACCCAGAATGCAGCGGCTCATCTGGTCTTCAACCTTCCTAAATGTTCCCACACCACTCCGCTCCTCCGCTCCCTTCACTGGCTTCCGGTAACTGCTAGAATCCACTTCAAGACACTGGTACTTGCTTACCATGCTGCCAATGGATCTGGCCCTTCGTACATCCAGGACATGGTTAAACCGTACACCCCAGCGCGTGCACTACGCTCTGCATCAGCCAAACGACTCGCTATACCCTCGCTGTGAGGGGGACCCAAGTTCCCATCAGCAAAAACACGTGGGTTTGCTATCCTGGCTCCAAGATGGTGGAATGAGCTCCCCATTGACATCAGGACAGCTGATAGCTTGCACATCTTCCGGCGCAAACTGAAAACTCATCTCTTTCGACTCCACTTCGAGCGATAGATTTATTAACAAAGCACTTATATACT